AATTAATATTGTGAAAATATGATAATTTTTAATTCATATATAATGTTTATAATTGTTCTATTATTTAATATAGCTTTTTTATATGAAATATTTATTGACGATTTTATATAGTAATAATTATATACTTTAATCAGGACTTTTTTTTTCATGAATGCTTTGATATATATATTTCTCAAATTTTATGCTTTCTTATTTGATATAATTTTTAGATAATTAATGTATAAGCCATTTGGGATTTAATGTGTACATTATAAGAAGTAATGAAAAAAAAAATATATAGTATTCATTGTAATTATTTTACTTCAGTATTATTAATTTTTATTTATTCTTGATATCATATATATAATTCAGTTTCATTTATCACAATGTTTATTTTTTTTCATTTTTCAATTTTTGAATTAAAAATATTAATACAAAATTATTTAAATAGCTGTATATATTAATAGAAGCTATAATAATTTAATAAAATGTAACTTTTGCTTGAATAATTTAAATTGAAAAGAAATATATATATTCATCATATATTATAATTTTTGATATAAATTGACATTATTTCTTTAAATATTAATGTTATTTGTACAATTTTTATTAATGCTTTAGGAATTAATTAATTTTATAAAAGTAATATTTTATCAAAATCGAAGTATTTCACGCTATGTAATTATATCCATTGAAATAATTTTATTTAAATATTTATGTAGCAATCACTTAATATAAAATTATATTTTTATGCTGAATAAATAAATTATATATAAAAATATGTGTTAATATATTTTTATAAGATTATGTCATACGGAATCCTATGCCAGCGTTAAATGTTATATAACATTTTCATGTTCTTTTTCATATATAAATTAAATGAATTAATCTTATAAGTAATATTACCTCTTATAATAATATAACAAAATTATTGAAAACTCTAATACTAAGCCATAAATGTAAAATTGTTCTTAAAAGAATATGTATAATTAAAATTCATATTCAATATATATGTTTAACCTTTTTTCACATTATTAAGAGTTACATGAGGCAAATGAACGCACAGAAAAATGATATAGCGAATCAGTAAAAATCTAATCAATATATATATAACTTATATATATATATTCAATTCTCGCTTTGCATTTTTATAATATATATTCCTTCTTATATATGCAATGAACGATTCAAGATTAAGATGCTATAGTACATATATAAACAATTAAATGACTGAATAATACCCCCTTGTTTAATAAAATATTCATAATTAATGAATAATTTATATTTTTTTATTGATGTTATCATTTAAAAAAAAATAATTTTGTTAAACAAATATATTTATGCTAATATTTGAATATCTCTTTTTTATGAGAAATATATTATAACATTTCTGTGGGATTCATTAATGTGTTAACATAGGAATAATTATATCAATATATGTGTCTATTATATATGCTTAGAATTATCTAAAACATGTATTATATATCTTAAATAAATATTAGATTTATTTAGACTATTGTCATACTACTTAATTTGAGTTAACCAACATTGCTTATAATTAATCTAAAGAAATATATTATAATTATTACGTGGAATGTATAATGATTTATCTTGGGTGGTATTATACGTTGCTCTTAAGAAATTTTTTTTGTGATATGGTTCATTTATGAGTTTCTTTATAATGTACATCATTTTTAGGATTTATTTCCTGCTCAATAATTATATACAAATATATATTAATTATAGTCCACAACTAATAATTTTTATAATTTTTTATATATATTATTCAATGTCAATAAATTCATATGTTGTTATAACGCTTTTTTATGACTACTCTACTGAATTATATAATATATTGTGTTTATTTTGAATTATATTTTTTTGTGATTGTTCAAATAAATTCATTAATCCGTAATATTTTTTATTTTTCCTCTTCCATATATTTTTTAACTTTCTTCTCCTTGGTCTTATGTATGAACCATAAGCAGTATACTGACAATTAAGAAAAGATATTATATTTTTATGATGAATGCATTAATTATATATTTATTATATAATATATTATAAATATTTAATGCATAAACATATAATTAATTAAATTTGTTTTTAACTTTGTACACGATGAATATAATTATTATTATTGCAAAAAATAAAATACCCGTGCTTGTCCACGTCACTGGGGATAGAGTATCTCCTGATAATGCTTCTACTGTGATGGCGCTTATGCCGAGATTTCCCAAGAAACAATTCTCTGATGCATTATCTCCTTTGCAAATAGGTTCTTTTTGTAAATAACTATTAAATTCTCGCTTAAATTTATCCAGTTCTTCATCAATTGTATTGTTAAACTTCGTTTTATCTATTTTTGAAAATTTATCATATGTTTCTACACATAATTTAACGTATTGGTCTTTATTATTTTTTTTCTTATCTTTTAAAGATTTAAAATTATCATATAATTCATCAAACATTTTGAATATTTCATATACATCGTCATTCATTATTGATACATATTCTTTACATACATCAGGTATGAGTACATCTGTTTTACTGGATGCATCTGTGAGTTTTTTGTGAAGATCATCAAATGAATTAACATTAGGACTTTTATTCCTTGCTTCACGTTTCAGCTCGTAGATATAAAAATTACAATATGGTTTTCTAGTGTCTTCTTTCCTATTTTTTAATTCATGTAGATAAAGACCAAGTTTTATGCAAGATGTAGAAAAAACATTATTCAAAATAGCATAAGGAGTAAATTCTGCACTAATATCATTGCAAGGCTGCTTTAAAGCCCTATTTACAGGACTCTGAATCATAAGGTATAAAAGAGAATGGTAATAAGACTTTACTTCAGGAAAAATATCCTTAAAAGACAACTAAAATTGAAATTTTTAATTCATAAAAATGATTTACATTTACAAGAAATATATTTCTCTTTGATTTTCATATATAGAAAAATTTTAATATATAGTAATATGAATTTTATTTTTAATAATATGTAGAAACATACTTGAGCTTTAGATAATTGTGTATTACCCATTATATATTCTAATTAATACGAAAATAAATTATATTTATTAATATAATTTATAATATAGTAAAAATAATACAGTAAATATTATTTATATTACATTCATTATACTTATTAATTTATAATTACAATAAATGCTTTAAAATTTCATTTTTATATTTTAAAATATTAAAGTATAAATTGTACATATTACATAAAAGTTTAAGTGCTTATATATAGGATTCAATAATAGAATTTTAGAGTTCCTGTTTTAAATTTTATGATTTGTGTTTTTTATCTTAGTAATCTAGATCAAGCTTTATATATCTATATATAGTGTTATGATATGTTTATTTATGGTTCTTATATCTGTAAATACTGCGTTTTATATTTATTATTTTGGGATTAACATATAGTGTAAATGTATTATATAATTTTTCATATTTTTATATTCAATATTAATAGACATTTCATAAAATATATTATTTGCTTTTTATATATAATTTGAGTAAATGTTCTTTCCATAAACATTATTGTATATAATATAAGTGTATTTTTAATTCTTACATAATATGATTCTAGGAATGATATTTATGCACCTAGAATTTATTATTTTTATATTTTATTAAATGATTTCTCCCACTTGATTCTGCATATTTCAGATTTATTATACCATTACATTTTGAGTTTTTCATTACACTCATTTTAATGATTTCTATTTTATTGGATAAATATATTTTGTTAAATCTTTAAATGATATATGCTTGCACTATTATTGTTCAAATTATTAAGATGAAAAAATAATGAGCTATTTACATTTACATAATAATGCATATGTATTTATGCAAAAATGTATGAATGTATTATATTTGTTTGTTTATATAATTTAATAATATCGTTTAATATGTATTAATAAATATATTTACATAATATTTCTAAAGAAATATTATCACTATTTATAAATGTATATATACCATTTATTATATATATATGTATTAAAGCACTTAATTCGTAAAAAATCATTCATATTTTTTGTAAAGACGTACTAATTCATGAATAAAATACTACTTGAATATCATTATATATTTCATTTATTATTTATAGTGATATAAAAAATATATGTAAAAATTTATTATTAAATAATATGGATAATTTACTTTAGGTATGTAATTATTTTGATTTATAGTATGATTGATTAAAATCATGAATTAACGGTGAAACACAATTTATGAAGAACAAAAATATTATATTTATAAGTAACATTTAAGTCTTGAGAAAATTGAAAATATTTTTTATATTTTAAAATTTAGAATAGTATTATATTACATATTTTTGATAAAATAAATATTTTGCTATATACTTATTTTTTCCTGTATATCTATGTAAATTGGTTATATTTTGAATATATTTATTATGTGTTGCTAAAAAACAAGCTTTTAATTCATGAATAAAACTTCCAAAGTATTCGACAAATAATATTATATTAAAATTAAATATTTTTTTATATAGATTAATTATATCGTATATTTTTTGTAAAGGAAACATGAATATATAAATTGAATACAATTTTTTTTCATCGTTTTTATAAACAAAGCTTTGTCCATGATATTTTATTTTTTAAACAAAATAATTCAAATATTTATAAATATCGTATATTTAATTTTTAATAAAAATAAGGTTTTGAATGTTTTTAATGAGTTATTATGATTACATTGAGTCTATGTATATTCTGAGAAATGTATTTTTGGAAAGACATGATATATAAAAGGGACTATGTATTAATGTATTAATATATAGTTTGTAATAATTTGGAGATATAAAAATATAAATAATATTTTCCAACTCTTCTCACATTCTTATGAGAATCTACAGCACAATACATAAAAAAAGATATTTTCTTATAGGTACATAATTTTGTACTGTAAAAACCTAAAAGGCAATTTTTTTAAAAATTTAACATGTTCTATGAAATAATTTATTTCACATAATAAAAGAATTATATGATCAAGCACTGTACATAATGTTCATAAAAATTTAATAAGAGTTATAAATAATACTCTTTTATGTTTTATTTCTTAAATACTTCCATTAGAATAATAATATATATATTTCTTACGAATTATGAATATATATTATTAATGCTCAACTAAATAACGAGCTCATATTTGATGATTTATAACCCAGATGCTGATAAAATATTATTAAAGTCCTTTAAATAATTTTCTTCAATATAAATTACAGTGATATTTATTCTGTATTCAACGGTATACATTTTTATATTAATAAATGTTTTGAATTATTAAATTATAAAAAGAAAGAAAAAACAAAGAAATAAAATTTGTGTTTATAATTATCTAGAGATATTTTTAGTCAGAATTAATAGGGATGATATAATTATTTATGTCATCGAATATAAAAGCCAACATTTTTGTTTGATTTATCGAATAGGCAAGCAAAAATCTGAAGGTGAATCATTATACATATGTGTTTAGACAGGATTGTCTCAATTTTTTAGGTTTTTATATTTTTGTATTTTAAAATATTTTCTTGAGGATAATTTATTTCTTACAAAAATATTTATAAAAAAATATATTTCTATGTGAATAATACAATTTTAGTATTTTATAATATTCGTCACGTTTTTATGTGAACAGTATTAACACTTGTTTAATGTATTGATATATATGTGCTTATAAAGACTTATATGAAAATCATTTATATATTTGTCAATACTAATGCATAAATATGTATTGATATGATTTAGGGTTCATGGATTAATTTTTATGCTTCACATTTTGGAAAAGGATATGTTTTTATTTTTAAAATCATATTTTATATATATATATACTTATTTATTCACTGTAATTTTTTGCAAGTGCATTTTTTAAATTACGTTCATGTTAGACCCTCACGTATGTGAAAACAGAGTAACTAATATATTATGACAGAATTATCCATTAAATATAACATATATAATATACAATTATATATTAAAATTATTATTAGGTCCTTATGAAATTATAATTTTTCTTATTGTTCTTATATGGAAAATGTATTTCATTTATGCATATTTTAACTTATTAAACTTTATGTAAAATGGATTCT